CTAGCCAATCTTTTCTGCATTCAAAATGAACCTGAAAATATTGTAGTCTGATATGTTATTTCTTTTACACATGAGATTTTCAAAAAACCAACAAAATTATTGTATACATTTATGAAGGTTTCATAAGTTCAGATAGTTCCATTTAGAAATGATCACAGTTAATCAGCATTTAACAATTAAAAAAAAATTAAAAAAAATTAAAATAGTACATAAAGAGTAAATATGTATTGTTTTGCTTATGAACTCTCATGTATGCAAAATGGTTGAATATCTATTTTACTTCCAAATTGCATCTAGTTATTACTGGTATTCTGCTAATAATATAAGAGAAAAAGACAACTTCTTCCCTTAACCCAGAGTTTTGACATCTAAGTCTGTCCTTATACCATGCATACAGATTAATTCAACCACATCTTGCCTAACCCTATAATTTATAAAATCACCCAAATGAAAGCCTAGATTATTCTCTTACTAAGGAATTTCTCTGCAAAATTTTCAGTAGTTTTAAAACTTAATGGGTGCATTTGTGTTGGTTTTGTGTGTAGTTCTGGATTTGTCATTATAAGTTGCTTCTTCTGCCAGATCTCACCTTTGAGACTGCTGAAACGTGCCCTGAAAAAAAATCTATTTAAATGGAACAGAACTGATGGCAAGAGAATTATGTATTTTTCAAGATGCCTGAAGTCCCAGTCTGTTAAGAGACTGTTGAAACTCCACTGGACTTTTGCATCAGTGGATGGAGTCCCAGCCGTTTCAATGCCAAGGAGTCAGAGAAATTATTAAACAGAAAAGTTCTAGTAATTGCAAAATATTAGTCTATTCCTTAGGATTCTTCTATATAATTTCTTTTTTTAGGACTTAGTCCAAACTAGTTTTAAAATGCCTCAGGTGACAGGGCTCTTTCCATTTGCACAAACTAATAGATCTTCATTGGACCATTTTTCCTGATACACTAATTGATCTTTTTTTTCAACTTCATTCAGTTAGCTGGTTTTGTGCACCCTGGAGACATAGTAAATCATTTCTTTTCCTGCTTCTACAGGTACCATTACAATAATAATAAAAGGTTGCATCTTCAATTTAGTCAAATGTACTTGATTTTTTTAAATTTTGCCACACACCCACATATTCAATATCACGTTTCTTGTCTTTATCAACAAACCAGAGCCTCCATCAAGATGCAAATACAAAAGTGGCAGCTGAGGAACATTTCAGGAGTGGGTGGGGACCACACAGGTGGGGAACATCAAAGACTACTGGTACTAAAGAAATAGCTCTGGTGCACTTGTCACTGGGTTGGAGAAAGTCTCCTATGCAAGCTGTAGTTAGGCAGAGTGTGTTGTTTGTGTCTAGTGAGATAGGTGCAACAAACTGCATCTCCCTGAGCATTCAGCTGCTCTTGACACCGATAGTTTCCAAATGAATCTTTGCTTTGGATCATTTTCTTGATGTTCTTTAAAGAGAGGTTTCTGAAAATTTTCTTCTGATCTCTCCTTTGTTCCTAATTTAATTTCATAAATTATCACTACCCAAGATGGATCTAGTTTAGGTGATAATTTCTGTAGGCAATTCCTCTTTATGCCACTCTCTTATATGCCTTTGAAAGCCACCACTCTCTGATAAGTTGACAGTGACCCCTCCTACTGCACATATTTGGACAACAGATCTCAAAATGTCAAGCCTTATCCATGCCTACGTAATAAAGGACTGGTCAAGTAATCATGAGGAATGAGAACTGCTTCCTGTTACTGGTGATCAAGGAGGCAGCGCTGCTGTTTTGCACTTGTCAGATTAATCATGTTCTCATTTTGGCCAATATTCCTAGAAAAGCTCTATCATTTGCAGAGCTTCCTACTGAAATCTATGGAGAAAAAAAAAAAAAAAGAAAGAAAGAAAGAAAAAAGAAAAAAGACATAGCTATTCCATCTGAAGTCTGGAATAATTTATGCTGCTATAGCAATTTACCAGCATTGATCTCTGTGTAGAAAGCCACCCTACATCAGTAGAAAAGAAAAAAGAATAAAACATGGTCCATAAAATTGTTTTTCACTTGAGAGTTTTTTAGACAGAATAAGCTTCAGATTGTGCTATAAGCATCTTTTCAACCATAATACATAACCCTTTGAAACAAGAAGGATGTGAAATCTAAAGCAGCGAAGTTTTGGTGGAAGTGGGGAGGAAAATGGCAACAGCACACAGACCCATGGTAAATGATAGAAATTTAACTCACTTTTCAGTGACAAGTATGGGTGGATGTAGTAAAATTTCATCCATTGCCTTTGCATTTAAAATAGATACATATATCTGCCTATCAGGTTATTTGCAACAAAAATTCTGTGTTCTGTTGCTGTTTGAACTTTCTAACTATGTTTATTCTCTGGAAGACAGTATCTTCAACTTAAAAGAAAACTGAACTATGCTGGGTAATTTTATAACTATTTTCCTTGCATTAGGAAAAGAAAACCACATAGAGGAACATTCAAGTATCCTTGCTATCTTCTATGATGCTATTGGAATAATTAAGCAAGCAGAATTTGGGGTCTGTTAATTTTAGCATTTATTCTAAAGAATATTGTTCTACCTAATGCAACAATTTAGCTGAAACAATAGTGATATAATTGACAAAATTACATAATAATTATAGTGCTTTAGAGCAAGCTATATTAAGGTATGACTCATCACTCACTACATAAGAAGGTACAGAATTACGTCAAATCCAGCAGTGCAGTGCAGTATAGTGTAGCTGCAGCCAAAAATGAAATTTAAAATCAGCAAAATTTCGTTAATAAGTGGGGGGAGGAGGGGAATTAATGGAAGGTATGACTATGAATTTTGCTATACTTTAATGAATTAAATTTAAAAAGTGACAATGAATAATTGTACAATTTCAATCAAGATTTTAATCTTTTTTAGAAAAAATATTTAATATATTTCACTACTTGAACATCACACTTCCTCTGGCAATACTTGTAATAGTTTGCTTTACTGAAAAGGGAGAACTATTCCACTCCTCATCTGGGGATATGATTGGTGAAGTGGAAAAGCAATGATGGAATTTTCTGAGATAATTACATTTCTTTATTAGAATACTTTATCAATGATCATTTTGAAAGAAAAGCTGTACAGTGTAACAATCAAGCATAAAACACATAACTTCCCAAGAAACATTTTGAGTGATTTTATATAATAGAATTTGATTGAAAACAATTCTGCTAAAAACTGCAGAGGCTGAATATATGCATCTTGGACAAAACAGTATTGAAAATTTCTTCCTTGAATAAGTCTTACTTGTTATGCAAAAGTTATATATACCTTCTATCATTTTCCTATCTGTTAATACTTTCCTTGATAATAAACATAGTCCCAGTTAAAGATATTATTTAACGGCACAATTATCCCTCATTAGCAAAGTTACTATGCTAAGCTTTTTCTATCAAAAAGTGTGATGGTTTGTACTCACCAGGTGTAAAATTGTATCGAGCAGAAAACCCAACAGATTCCAGCTCTCCATCAGCAAAAAATTTAATCCATAGGAATCTGCCACTGGATTTTATCATAGGTGGATTCTGCTGTCCACAGAAACGTCCAATGATTGGGGAAAAGCCAAAAGGTCCATCTCGTACTTCAATATGGTCAAATTTACACTCCCAAGAAGGCTCTATGGAATATTTTTCATCAAAGTGCAGTTCAATGCATTGTCTAGGGGCAGCTAGAGAGGGAAAAACAGTATCTTATTAATTTCTAAACCAAGACCCTTCAAACCTAAAACAAAATTAAGGAAAATCAAATTTATCAATTTCATATGCATCTTAATGTTTTGCTTAAAAACTTGTTTGAAAATTAGTACATCTGTATTTTTATAGGTTTTACACCATCAGCTTATTTGTCTGTTTATTTCCTTTTAAAAAGTGCTCATGACAGCATTTCATAGCAAAACTAAGAGAAATATCTATGATGTAAAGTAAAATACAGTTTAGGAACAATCTGTTCAGACAGAAAATCTTTCTAAGAAACTTAAGTATCTGGAAAACCAGTGTTTTCTATTGTTTGGGGGGGAGGATATGTTAATCAGAATACTTTTTTACCTAATGCTCACAAAGATGAAGAAAAAACTGATAAGAACTGATATGAAGAACAAATTCTGTTCCTATATGTATTGCAGACAATGACAAGCTTGGTTTGGTTATACTCAGAATTAGTTTTCATCTCATTTGAAATATAAGGACAAATGTCGTGAATTGTCACTTAAGAAACTAGATAAGGATGAAGCAAAATTAACGTCTAACTAAAGAGCAAAGAATATTCTGCTGAAAACCTTGAAGAAACTTTATAATGGTCACTTAATTAGACATATAAATCATCTTTATTCATAGATGTTAAGGCTAGTGGCAGTCAGAATGATCTCTCAAACAAATATTCCCTGGCATCTCCTGTATAGAGCAAAATAGCTACCAGTTGAACTACAGTATTTTCTTAAAAGGAGAAAAAAAAAAATCATAGCTTTGTCTACAAATTTTAATGATGCAGTATCCCTGGGGTGTGCTGCTCCTATGCTTAATCTTGTCCATAGCAAAAAATGTATGCCTTCAGTGTCTATATCATGCTGTGATATAGCCTTTTGCTGACAAAGCCTTCTGCCAAGACAAGAGTTTGTTGTGTCACTGCCTGCTATGCTTCTCATGGGATCTGTCCTACCCTTTGCACATATTAGAAGAGGTTGAAATTGCTATGAGCTTTGCCTCAGTTACCATTCTTTGGTAGCATTCTTTGGTTACTGTTCTTTGGTAATGAAAACATGCAAGATCAAACTCCAAGCCGAGTGCATAACCTTAACATGGAAACTACTGCCACTCCAGCAGTCAGTATCCTTCCATTTCTTTCCTCAGGAATAATCAGAAAACTATCAGTGTGATCAGAACCTAGATCTTGTATGTATTTTGAATATTTTAAATTGAGGCTTTTGGGGGATGAGGTCATTACTCACATAAGAAGGGAGGCTATTTAAAATGAACTAAATAAGAAGACATTAGGGAAATCTTACAATCCTTACATAAGAGCACAGTCAGATCCCATTTACAGCTATTTCATGTAAATAAATACAGCTTCAGTTTATAGGAAGCATTGAAAAAGTAAGTTAATAAAACATGTTATTTGAGAAGAAAGATTATTTTAATAGCTTTACTTTCAATGTTACCATAATTGGGTGGTTGATATTTATTGAAACATTTAATTTAACATAAGAAAGAAACCTTATCTAGTGTTCTTAATTTGAAGAAATCCACATTTAGAGAAGTACTTACTATTGGCTTGTTGTTATTTATACCAATTTACAGGAAATTTGTGAACTTTGTTCCCATACAAATTCAATAGCAAAATAAACCCCTAAAACTTTATATATAATTGCACCAAATTCACAGTCCGTGGAAATGAAACTACTTCGACAGTACAAAAAAATCTTACAAAATTAAAATCAGATAATAAAGCTTGTAAAGAAGACTTTATTAATGCTACCATTGGTGAGATTTGAAGACCAAAGTAGAACTTTCAGATTATAGTAAAAGCCTGAATAACTGGAAGACATCTTTGATTAATTTTATTCAGATGTTTCTACCCTTGACCACATATTTATAACAAATATTGATTTAAACTTAATGAAGCATTACTAAGGCAGATGAGAACAATCAGCACCTTTCAGTCTGGGATCATATTTTTTACTCTCTTATTCCATTTAAGGAGATTTGTTGAAAACTACTCATCATTTCACCTACAGACTGCAGAGTCAGGTATCAGAAACTACATCCTGACAATGCTTTAGGTAATCTTAAGAATGTTCGTTAAGGCTTGAAAATCTTACATACCCACTATTCAAATATTACACTATTAACATACCTAAAGCTTTATTGTAATGCTTTAATGTTGCAAACTAAATATGAAGATGAATTCTGCTAGTATTGCTAGTGTCAGACAGCATCATACCACAGTGTGTGCCTGCTCTGCTTTCCACAGCAACAAAGAGATACCCACTTCAAAAGTGGCTTATGCCATTAATGTAACACATTTGTCCTTTACAAACATCCTGTGTTAGGCCTTCACTACTCTGTTTCATACCAAGAGGAGGCTTACAAGTGCTGGCCCATAGTAAAACCCTTAACAGGTCTTCTCTGAATACAAGACTCGTGATAAAATGGGCTTGAGGCCCCCTCTGAATTATAGCTCACTCATTTGATATAATTTTTGGTGTTGAAAAGGAGCCCTAAAGCCAATTATAGCCTCACTAAAATATACAAGGAGTCTTTGTGGGTAAAAGAGAATCAGACCTACAGAGTTATGCATGAGATCTATTGACTTGGTGAAAGCATGGCCTGAGAAAAAACTGCACAATTTCCACAACCTCCATGTAGCTCTCTGAATCTCACATTACAAACTAGTTCTGCGATCAGAATATTATTATAGTTTACTCTTCTCTTATTTTATTTATTTTTCAACAAAGTCAAGACAAGGCTTTTCTTAGTGAAGCTCAGTTCTTGCTAGAGGATCAGAGAGAATCACATCAGCTCAAGGAGCGCTCAAAAGTTTCTACATTTCCCCAAAGCTCCCATGTGTAGAGGCTGTTCCACTTTAAGGACGGAGCACTGACTATTCATTAACACCGTTTCCCCACTGCTAAATAAAACAAGTCTGGGAATGAGTTTGGGGGCTGGACCACTGACTGCTCATGCTCCTTAAATGTTAAAATTACGTCCCAGCATCATTTTGGCCATGCCAGTCAGAACGGCCAAAACATGTACTTAGGAATGATGCAGTGGTTCACATCAATCAAGGACCATTCACAGCAAGCAGTTGGTACCTGTACTCTTGACTGGGAAGGTGAAAGGAGTTAATCCGTTCATGTGTGATTGTGCCTATCAGCTTTAAGGCCAGTGAACATTGCCTGACCTGTTTCAGGTATTAGTATAGGTACTGCCTGTGTCCCAGCCTGCTCTGCAAGCTAGTTCAAACAGGATGAGGTCCTTCCTCCTAACTCTCCTGAGGAATGCAACACTTCATGTTTCTGTAACTGTAAGGACTGTGGTGATCACAAAAGATTGGGCAAAGGGAGGAAGCGGTGCTATACACTCATCCCTGTACCTTTTCATCACGTGCTTTTAAATGCTCCTCTGTGCTTCATCTTGTACAATACTTAGAATTAAAGGTTAAATGTTTTGTTTGCAATACTCTACCTAAGAAACAAAATTATTCAGATATTCCTGGCAATGTCCATAAGGAAGAAAACACACAATTCAAACTCCCAACTATAACTTCCTTTTAGTGAAAAAGGTATCGGTTTGGACCTATACTCTGGCTCTGATTTCCTTGCCAAACACAAGCTAAAACAAGCGGGTACTGTATAAATACACACCTTGTTCCACAGCTTTTGCAACAAAGTGTGTGCAAGTGTGGTCACAGTAAAATTTGCAGAAATACAGTGAGAACAAGTCCTGAATAATGACTAATAATAATGGATATATAGCAACAGAAAAACAAAACAAAACAACTAAACAAAAAGCCCAGAATATGCAATTCTTTGAGACTAAACTGGAATCTGGCCATCTAATCAGAAAAGGAAAGATGGAGTGGTCATTTCTGGTATCCTTATTCACATGTAAAGCCCATGCACAACTTCAGAATTTCTTCTGTGGCTACAATGTCAGGAAAAGTTGTCAAGTCCAAAGCTGTTTCATAAAATTATTTTCCTTCAAATCATAAAAATCTTCCATATTTAGCTTCCAATTATCTTTCTCCAAAAATGTTTAATACCATGGAAAGACTACTTAATGCCTGCATGTCTCATCATATTTTTCATCTAATTATCTTACACAAGTGCTGTCTCGAGATTTTACATTTGATGACAAAAAGACATTGGGTACCAACTTGCAGTAGAACTGTTGCAGCAAAACCACACACTTAAGGCTTTAACTCTGATCAGCCTCTAAGTCTGTGTAACTGACAGCTGAAGTTAAGCGAAAAATCTGTTTCAATTTAACAGACTGCATGGAAATGAGACATTGAACTCAACACCTACCCCCATCTATCTGAGCTGCTACAGTACTAATAGTTTTCAATAATCCTCGGACTTTATAGTTGCCCAGCTATTATTGATAAGAAAGCCATCTATATCTTCCTTTTAAAAGAGGATTCTTTCCTTGTTTTGATGAAAACTTTTTGAAGACAAAAATCACTGTGAAATACAAAAGGACTTTGAGCAGAGATTTTTCACACTGTGATATGTGACCATTTTCTAACACCTGTGAAATATCTAGGATTAAAGAGTTTAACGGTTTTTAATGAAAGCATGGAAGACCTTCAAGAGAGCTAACTCTAAATGTCCACAAACAGATAAAGTGGAAGATTTATTTCATATCTCTGTAAAGCAGTTCTAGTCTATATCTATATTTATAAATAAGCATTTAATTATTAAAAAATGGAGAATGGATAAAATTTTACAAATATTTCACTTACCGGATTTCCAAACAAATTCTTAAGATACATTGTGTTGAGCATGACTATTCCACTCCCCAAATATTTTTAACACAGACAAAAGCCTTTGCTCCTACAAAATCTCCTGTGCAAATTTCCCTTTGGAGCACACGTGCCAAATTTTCTGCAGCCTGGCAAAGGCTATTGCTGCCATTGCTGTGGTTGTTCTGGGCAGCTGTGAATTTTGCCAGGTTAGAGTCATGAATACGCAAAACAAGGGTGAAACTGGGCCCAACAGGGAGTTTAATGTGTACACTCAGCTATTTCCTACATTTTCTATATGCCCAATAAGACTGAAAGAAAGAAAAAGAACAAATTCTCAATGCATTTTGAAAGGCAGATGGGATTAACCAGAAGCTCCTCTACAGCATAATAATTTTTGTACTGAGTCCATGACTTCTGGATGACCTAAAGGATTTCTTTTAGAAAGGCATCCAATCTGGACTTTAAAATTCTTAGTTGTTCCAATAGTTAATTATCATTACTACTAAAAAAGAAGAAAAAAAAAAAGAAAATAAAAAGAAACTTCTAGCTGTTTGATCTGCTGATGCCTTTGACTGCTAGGATAGAAGCCTCTGCAGTCAGAAATCCTCTTCTCTTTTAGAAACACCCAGTCTATGATCATGGCAATTTTTGCCAGCTCCTTTACTTCACCAAAGTAATTTTGAAATGATAAAAGGCTTGCATACATTTAAGATGAGCTACAATGTTGGGAAAAAAGTTGTATCATGAGACAAAATTCAATTTTATTACAACACACTATGTGCTAGAGTACTCACTCAAGTCCACTAAAGTCAGCAAGAATTGTGTTTAGGGAAGCCATCAGAATTTGCCCTAGATTATGTTTGATAGCAAAAAATGAAGGAACAAAAGTAAGCAGGCAGGAAGGAACCTGGTGATTCATATATGTATTTAAATGCACGCCATACAGCTGTCAGTCTGGTATATACAGTCCCGGTATGCTGAACTCTCTTAAGACATACAAAGGGGAGATAAAAATGTGGGAATGCTATTACAGATCATATCGACAGTCCCCCTAGTTTGGTACTTGGTATTCAACACCAGCCAGAACCTGTTTGAAGCATATCGAAATCTCAATAATAAATATAGGAATAAGATACATATGGAGAGGTTTCTGTCTTACTTGAAAATTGAATGGATGTTTATGTCCTGGATTAGCAAGGATTATCCACTCCATAGATTGTTATCTGACCTCAAAGATATTGCTATGAGTAAAAAAATTAATCCTTTTTTTGAAATCCTTTAACTTCAATATCTTACGCCAATGAGTTCCACAGAATATTAAAGATAATGGGGAAAAGTCTTCACTTGCTAGCCTTCTTTATCATTTTCTGTCATTTTTATATATTGTAAAAAGAATACGCAAAAATAATTGACTGTAATCACAAAATAATTTTTGTTGTCCTTCAGTGTTTCTCCTTTTGCCTTTTTTGAAAACTGCCACTTTTTAAAATATCATTGCTCAGACATCTTACTACATCTCTGTTTATTTTTGTGCCGTCTTTCAGACATGACTATTCCTAATCTTTTTAGAAGATCGAAATAGACACGTGGAGATCAGAGCTGAAAATGATGTGCAATATGCACGGTTCTCATCAAATTGTATACTGATAGAGCTGCTATCATCATGGGTTTTAAAATACCCATTTGCAAATCAACTGTTGATTATGGCTGAACAGGAAGCAGGAAATATCTGAGTCATAAGAAATTATGTACAACTGGGTTTTGCCAGACTTATTTTTCCCATCAAATATAACAAGATGTCAGTTGAGTTCAGGTTACTCTTTTTACTACACATTGCTCCAAACTAGGCAACATGAAATTTCATCTTCACCGTAGAAATTGGTTGATTAAATCTTTCCTTCCTAAATTGTTCTTAGACATTTCCAATTTGAGCTATTCTAAATCAGGTTATTTCAACAACATATTTTGCCATCTTACAATTTATCAGCAATATTTTTTTAAGTATTTAATTACTATAATAAAGACAAAGGTCTTTACAATAAAGGGCTTTCAGTCACCTTCTTACTAAGAGGAGGAACACCTTATGGCCTGAGATACTGGACTAGGTTTTACAAAAATGGTCATATTTTTTTCCCACAACTTTTCTTTTTAATGATAAAACACATCTCTGTGCTTCAGACCTTTGAAGATAAAATAGGCTTACTTCTTCCCAGCCTCACAGGAATGTTAGAAAGATAACTTGATCAATACATTCAAAAAGACCTGGATCTAGAAACCTAAGTGTAACAAAAAATATAAAATATTGAACCTATACATTTATCTTTTTATTTTAAATTTTATTTTTATTTTAAATCAATTATTAAATTGTGAAAGAACTTACATGTTTATCACACATCTGCTTAAATTTTAGAATCAAGTGGCAAGACTGGACAAGTATAAATTTTCTTTAAAGGGCTTGTTTGGTTCCATGATTTATAATCACCTCTTCTGAATTCAGTCAGGTTACCTAGCACTAAAGTGGAATTCAGAGATCTCAGTCATTTTGCTGTGATTTTTTTTCCCCAAACAGTACATACAACATTTACTATCCATCCTTTCCCTGGAAGATTTTTATGAAATATATTTCTTCTATTAGCTTGGCACTAGATTTGGAAAGACACATGCATTTCTGAAAGGGTTTAGTGCGGGGTTCTAGAGCAGCTAATTCCATTTGAATCAGCTATACACCTTTGGAAATCTCTCTTGGTACTACCTGCATCTTTAGTAAAATAAATATTTCTATAACTCCTGGCTCCATCATTTGTAGTTAATAATTGTGTCCAACCAAGCATGAATAGAACAAGTGTCAGTGTTGTATTCTGCATGTATTCACAACTTATGAATGGGTCTTCTTGGTTCCAGTGACTTACCATTCTGCACCTGATTCATCTTTTCTGCTACTAAGCTCTGACAGTATCTAATCTCTATTATTTTCCAGAGATTCATTTTTACAACAATTCCTTCAACATCCGTTGTGCTAAGACTGATGGAAAGAGACTGCGTAACTTGCTTGTAATACACCTCTAGCCTTTCTCACAACACCTCCGTGCCTGCAACTGTCTACCCTTTAAAAACAGTGTCTTACAGATGTTTGGGATTAATGTTTATTCTTTTCTGGTTTTGTTTTGGTTTTCTTTTTTTTTTTTTTCCATTTATTTTCATTTCTTATGAACAATTGGATGGAAAATAATTTTACACTCACTATATGGATATTTTCTGTATGACTTTCTTTACTGTACTCTGCCTAGCTATGCTTGTCATCCCTGATTTGGTTATGATAAGTTTAAAATACCTATATGCAAGTCAAAAGCATTTTTGTTTCCTGTGTTCACTTTTTTTACTCATTTTAAAATATTCTTTGTTCTGTCATGTTACAGCATTTCAGGTTCTATTCATTCTCTGAATACCCTAAAATAAATTATACTGTATTTATTACTAAGTGATTCATGCATACTTACCACCTGAACTAATTTATGAGTGATGTCAGGAAATAAATCAAGTATTTTACGGTATTTCTTGGTATGTTCTACAAAAATTTTAAATTTTTTACAAAAAAAAAAAAAAGAAAAAGTGCAGATAGAGCTTCTCTAAATCTTGTGTCTTGAAAAGATTTATCATGATTATATAGGCTTTACCTGCTCTTCACATACAACATAAAACTTTTTTTTTTTTAATACAGTTAATGTTAGAATATAAAGATTCTTCAGCTAGTCACCTTCTATAATGTAGACACACTCTCTGTCAGGAGGATACTTGTTGGGGTAATTGGGAGAAGTGAAGATGCCTCCTTCTGCATATTTTGTCCAAGTTCCACACTGCACTGGTTTCTGTCCTTCGGAAGTAGTTTGCTTTTCTGTGAAACGATCACATTAAGCATTACACAATTAGCTCACAAAGTATTATGTCCCTATGACACTTAGAACTCTCTTACAGAATAAAACAGTCCCTTCTCTCAGTGGCCTCAGCTTTTTTCTGTTGAGACTGAGAGTATGATCATTGGCCTGGGGGAAAACGAGGATGGTTTTTAGGGGTACAAACATATAATTCTTACTCAAAACATTTTTTAAAAGCAGAGAAGAGGCTTGGATGTCTAGCAGAAGACATATTTGTACTTCTGTTTAAATAAAAACCTTGTAGGTTTTAGCACATGCTCAAGAAATGGGAGATGTGAGTTTCCCACTCTTATATCTCAAAAGACTCAAGCCTGTGCTCTATCAGCAAGCTATGTGCTGTAATACAGGAATACATCAGAGTCGCAAAATCAGGAAAAAAAACCACAGAATTATGATAAATACACAAATTATTTTAAATTCGCAGCAATATTACTCTATATTCACTGGACAGAGATAGACAGGGGAATTCCTGGATTCTGGTTCATAGATTATTTTTATCTTGCTGTTTACTGTAAAATTAATAAATAACTCTGAGACCAGGAATCACAGCCCAGAACTTTCCTCCTCTTAGGTGAATCATCAGAGAGCAGAGTCAGACCTTCTTGTTTGCTTTCTTCCTAGCCCTGAAACTCTTGCACTCCTTTCTGCACATCGGCAGAAAGGCTGGAGACAAAAGCTTGAGTCTGTTCAGGCTGAAAAAGATGAAGGATCACTTCCCGGGCACCATGCTTTAACAAGTAGGCAAAAATAAGATGGATCCTTCAGAGGGAAAAATCCTGAAGCTGGTATTAAAAGGATAGTAGGTTCTAGACCTCACACATTATCCAAAGAGGACTCCTGTGTTTTGCTCCAAACAAGGTATCTATATCCAAGGAGTGTCCCATCTAACTTCAGCTTCTGGTGTGTAGAGCTGATGTGTTTGAGGCTCCCTCTTATGATCAACGGAGGGAGACAGGTACCTTCCAAGGATGACTTTAACCACGTGAGATCTGCCTTATGCTCTGCAAGCATTTCTCTTTCTTCCTGGTCTCTATCCAAGCTGAGTACAACACAAAACCTAATGTCCTGAAATTAATTCAGACACAAGTTCAGACATGCATTGTGCTTAGCAGCTCTCCCTGTTTGGCTCTTACCACACCATCCAGGGCTTTGAAGAACCTCATTCTATCCTCACCCTGCACAAATGCACCCGTGATATACCCAATTTCAGGTTATGAATTCTACTTCAACAAGCAAAAAGATCTTAAGTGTAGATAGCTCAATGCCCAAGCTGGACTTTCCAATTTGAAATCAAGGGCACTTTACAGACTTTAGATAGAGTCAGGCTGAGTCTTCAGTTAGATCTAGCTGTGGTTCAGGTCACTAACTTGTTAAAAAAAAGTACCACTGGATTTTTGTGTGTGTACAGGCACAATAATACTCAAAACAAATGAACAAAGGACAGACACTGGAAGTAGGTGAACTACTAATAATATCAAGAACTAAACTAACAAATCAAATCCATACTTTGGACTCCGATATAATGTCTGAAAAAAAATGTCTGAAGTTTACATACCTGTTCCTTTTTTGGTTGCCCCAGACAAATGTAGGATGATTAGACTTGCTACAACTGAAAGAGAAATATGCATTAGATATCATAGTGTGATAGTACCTGCAATCAAATCAACTTTAAACATCTATCTTAGAAGAATACAGATTAAATAGAATTACTGTAAAAAATGTTTCGTGTTTACTTGCACCTTTAAATTGCAGGTTTTGTACAAACAAGTTTATTTGTGATCTGCCCTTGTAAGTATTTATCTTTGTAAATGTATCCAAATAAAGAGGAGATCTTTTGGGTTTAAAACAAAATCCTTAGACACTGATGTTTCTCTCCTATTTTTTTTCTTTTTTTTAATATTAGAGAAAAATATCTTACTAATATTTACTTATATATTCAGAGCTTGGGCAAGTAATAGAAACATGGGTGCTCTTAACAGAGGGAGACAAAAGCCTGCTAAATTTCAGTGCCACTGGACTCACTAATGCCTCTCGCTATGGCATAATAAAATTTGAAAATGAGTACTGGGAATATGAAAGAAATGAAGGGTTGGGTTCTTCACATCTATCAAAGCATTTGCAAATCCCCAGTGAAGTAAATTATTGTGTGTGCTTAACAGCCTCATTAATCTAGTTTGTTTGACTTGTTGAGAGGGTGTGGCTTTGTGCTGCAGTGATTCTGCAGCCTGTTTTACAAACAGAAATCTCCTATCTCCAACCATGATAGGACAGCTATGCCTCTTGGGAGCAGATGTGACCTTTCTAAGATGGACTTCAACCTGGAGAAAATTTCTGAGTTTCTGGGAGTTTCCAAACATAACAATTTAACTAGAAAAGGCTATGAGGAAAATACCTGGGCTGGTCATAATGAGACTGCTTTGGAAGATCAAAGTGACTAGCTAGCTACCTATCATGGACTGATGATAGCACTTTCTTGTCATCATCCATATCTTCTTTGTTGGAGACAGTGGCATAGCAAGAGCATAAGAGAACAGATCTATCAATTCCTGGAGTGCTCAGAGTTTTGACCCCAGCTAGTTTGGCGTTAAACCTGGACATAGTGCTCAGACTCCACTGAAGTTAAAGTGGAGATGAAGTTGTGTGTTTATTCTGAGTATTTGTTCTGATCAGCTGCCATTTGTATTGTTGACTATGATGTAGAATCGATGCACCTGTGGTCTTTAACAAATGTAATTGAATGGCATACTTTCCTCTTCTTATCCTCAAGAGACACCAAAAGTCATCGTGGGTTAGTAACCAGCTACCTAAATCAGCCTTTCAGAGATGGTGCTTTCATCATTTTCAGCTTTTATTGTGTGCAATTTTTACCCCGAAGGAAGCCAGTCTCCATATTTCCAGTATTCTGATGTCATTGAGATCTCTATTTCTATGCCTTTGTCCCTTCCCATGTGACAGAGGGTTCGAGGCATGGATGATGGCTACCTTATTAAGCAGGGAAAGGCTGATGTTCTGAGAAAATGAAGGCTTGGCAGCATATTCACTATTTCTTGGTCAGGCTCACAGCCCCTGTGTCTTTTTGAATCCCTCAGCTAACAGAGACGGATGTTGGCAGAGCTGGTAGTTAAAAACTCTTCTGTGTTGTGGGCATTCAGTGAGAACATTACATCTTCTGCTCGGATCTGAATGCTACCCAACCATTCATGCCCTTATGCTCCTCAGGGATAGATTCTGGAAATACACGCTAGCTGGGAATCTGCCCCCCAGCAGTATCAGAATCCAAAGGCAATGCAGGATTCTCCCATTTACTAAGTTGCTCATTTACTTTAGCTGTGTTTCATGCAGTGAACATACTACATCTATGCCTGTAGTCCTCACCAGTCAAAACCTCATTTCTCAGTAGTGTAAGGTGGATTGGTGTTAGAATATGGAGCCACCTGCCAGCGTTCTTTCTGCCCACAAATTTGTGGAAGCTAGAATAGGACTCACAACAGCCAAAAAACCCACATGAGAAACATTTCTTCTTAGGCAATTAGTAACAATTCATATGATTCTTACAGGTTCATTTCCAGCACCTTTATCTGTTAGCTCACCCCTCCTTTCTTATATGAAAGCTGAAGTTCAGAGAAGTAAAGGGAGTTGGTCCAAGGCACAGAGATATTATTACCAAGAAAAAACACAGGTCTTTTCAATTCCAGCTGTAATCACTAGAAAGGATGCTTCCAAGTCGCAGAGCTAGGTTATTCCAACGCAGGGAGCTATACTTACGTATCATCATGTCACCATTGGTTATTAATAAGGAGTCATAATAATCTCAAAAATAAAATGTAATAGACAAGAAGAGACTAAGAGACTAAGTTTTTTTTCTGGACATATCATATCTAACATTTGGATAGAAGAACTTAAATACTTCTACTGTATTGCAAAAAGAGAGAAAGCCAGTTGATTTAGTGGATTAACACCAGCATCACTAAAATCTGTATATTGTCAGAAAGTAATTAAAATTACAGGCTTCATGGGAAAAGATAACACAATATTTTTTTTACTTAAGCAGTCAAGGCAGTCCATTTTATTCTATGACTCCTTGCCTTTTTCTTTCTCAAGCCACAGGAAAAGAATAGTGCTTCTCATAGAGGAGGAAAGAAAAAGAAAAAAGACCCTAAAGAGACCAATCAAGCAATCTTCACTCATTGAAAACTGTCACTTGGGAAGCTTTGACAGTACAGCAACAATATTGGCATTATCAGGGTTTGGGAATTATTTTAAAGAAGTTTCCACCAAATTTCTTGTTGCATTCTGTCTGTCTTCCTCCTCCCCCCTTTCCCACCTAATCACAGGTGTAATTATAATCATGCCTTCTAGTGCCACTCTGATTACGCATCTTTGCATCTTTTTGGATCTGTGCATTTTTCATTACAAACTGCACATTAAAAGATTTCTCTCTTGGCCAGGCAGCTTTTTGGAGGCTGTGCTTTGGCATAGACAGAGCTTAGCCTAGCGAAGAGTTGTTGGACAAGCAATACCTGACCATAGCGCTGTTATTTTACAGGTGTGGGTGTAGACAGAGGTACTGGAAGGAACTGTGGCCAGCCAAGCCCCTTCAGTAGAGCGGACCCTCTGCATAGCTGAGGCGGAGAGGGGGTCCCATCCACGCAGCCCGAGGCCCCGGGGGTCTTCGACAGATAACTGTTACGTTTCGGTGTCCCCCGGCTGCTCCTGGAGGATTTCACC